TTCAATTCTAAGTACTTGAAAGAGGTGGTGGCATACTGGCGCGACACTTACCTGCCCAAGTGGGGAGAGCGCGAGGCCTTTCTCAAACAGTTCCCACATTTTGAAACACAGATTCAAGGGTGCGTATAATGGAATAGCTTGTATAGATATCGTAAAAACTATTATTTAAAAAATATCTTGGAAAACCAAAGCAATAAAATAAAACAAAAAAGAAATTGTTAAGTTGCAACCGAACATTTTATACACGTACTAAATTTAGCTGAAATCGGTCAGTCGGATCCCGAGATATGTATGTACTTTGCATGCATTTGACAGACAGCCAGTCACTTGGATTTCAACATTTTCATTCATCCTGATCATTTATATATATGTACGTAGAAGTACATAACCTTATATACTTCTGGCTTAGTTTTATGTGATATGTACAACCGTTAAGTGAAGAAAACTATTATACTCTGTGGCAACAGGTTGCACGAGTATAAAAAATTACGAACATATTTGGTAAACATACGAACTTCAAATACATTCATTTCACCTATAAAATGTTTGAAGCCTCTTTTCTAGATGCCCAAGGTACAAAACTTTTCGTCTAAAAATATAATATAAAAGAAAACTAAATATAACTCGGTCGAGATAGTTCTTCTTAGTAAATATGTTAACTCCTTTTTTCAAGTTCTCGTGAGAATTTGTTTTTTGTTTAATCAAGATTATTGTTGTTGCAATACGAACTTAAGACTTTGAATTGAGCAGAACAAATATTTAGCACTCACGATCGTATGAAATGCTGATAAGCCCGAGACATACAAATGTATCTAAGGAAATATGTCGATTTACGTATATAATGAAATGCCAGACCCTGTCATAACTCGAAATTCATGAAGAGTGTAAACTACAACTGCATAGTATATATATAAGTAGCTTCACGTCACACAAATCTTCGTGGATACAGATAATATCAGTAAATTGCTTAACTTTGGCACTGAACTTTTATTTGGCTCCCACCATAAAGCAGTCATCTGTCACAACAAACTAGGAGCGGCTTGAATTTTTGTTTCATATTCCAGGGGCAAAAGATCCTTTGAAAATAATGTATTCTCCACATTTCATTTAATAAGACTATATTGACCATTACATATTTCTAATTTAGTTAGTTAATTAGAGAACCAGGTAGTCTCAACTTAAGGAAACGTCTCAGTGTGATCCTCTGAAAAATCACTCATTTTCGCAATTTTATTTATTTTTAATTTTGAAAGTAACTAAACAGACCGATTCTTTTATAAATAAATACAATCATGGCGAATACAAAGAGATTTTTTTATGTTTTTTTATTGGGTGTATGATAGTTAAATAAAATGTTGAAATGACACGTAGAAAACGTCCTGTACGATTTCAACGATTGCGGCCGCAATTTTGGTCTATAAGAACAACTTCAAAAAGGTTACTAATCTGTAAGAAAAGCACTATTGCACTATGGAAGCTTTTTTTCCTTTTTGACATTTCCCAAACTGGCGGCGATTTGAACAAAAAGTATCGAACAAAATAGGAAGATTTCAAAAAAAATGTATATAATAGCTTCCATAAGGCGAAGCGAATGAAGTTAAAAATGTTCTCTCCAAATTAGAACTAGATATCTTAAAAACTCTTCCTTTGAGAATGGAAACAGTTTTGAAAAATACCGCTCTGAGAAAAAAGCGTTTAAAGATTGGAGTCTCCACTCTGTTCCCTTTCTACAAGAAACGCTGTAGTAACCGTAACAATTTGAACTTCGACTTCACTCGATTCGATTTGAGATGATGTTTATTACAGTGTATTCTACCCGATAATGTAACAAAAACATGAAATTCTAGAAAATTTCACACTTAGTCGATCCCTTAAAGAACTGAATTTCGTATGATTTTCAGAACATGTATACATATACTACTGTATGTATAAATAGACAGCATTTGATTCTGTAAAATGCATAAACACATACCGACTAAGAGAGTACGTTGAYCGATTCTAATTTTAGAAGCACTCTGTACTGCGCTTTCAATGAAAATTTCCATCAGCTGATGGTTTGGAGTGCGTTCTTATTCACTTTTTGCATATTCTTTATCTTTATTTACAGTTTACGAGTACACTTCATTCATGTGAAGSCCAAGTCCACCGAAGGTAAAAAGGTGGTGCCTCTCTTACTGATCCACGGCTGGCCAGGATCAGTGCGCGAGTTCTATAGGCTAATACCGCTGCTGACGAAACCGAACCCCAAGAGTGAATATGTCTTCGAAGTGATAGCACCCAGCTTGCCCGGTTATGGTTGGTCTCAGGTAGATTTACACTCCCTCTGTAGACAAAAACTTTATTAAGCATATTTTTGTCTCATTCGCAGGGCGCCTCAAAGGTAAACTTCGGACCCGCACAGATGTCGTTAGTGTTRCGCAATTTGATGCTGCGTTTGGGTCATGAGAAATTCTTAATACAGGGTGGTGATTGGGGCTCTGTACTCGGTGCAAACATTGCTACTTTATCGCCACAGAATGTGCTCGGTTATCATTCGAATATTTGCCTTATTGTTAGTCATCCAGTGGTTCACCTTCATAAGTTATTGCRAAATTGGTTCCCGARCTTCTTTATTGAGGAAGAAAATAGAATTTTCTTTAAACCCTTTGGCAAAGAGTTAAGCTATATTTTAGAGGAGTCTGGCTATATGCATATTCAAGCATCCAAACCAGACACAATTGGCACAACGCTCTCACAGAATCCTGTTGGTTTGGCCGCATACATCTTGGAGAAATTCTCCACATGGACYAATCCTGCATACAGGCAACTCGAGGATGGTGGCCTCACCAAGCGCTTCACTTTAGACGAGCTTTTGGATAATATCATGATTTATTACACGACAAACTCGATAACTACGTCTCAGCGCTTGTACTCGGAAGGGTTCAATTTCGCTCACTTTGCTTTGAATTTGGACGCGACGCATGTAAATGTGCCTACCGGTTGTGCACGGTTTCTTCACGACTTGATGCATTTGACGGAGTCCGAGCTTGGATTGAAATTCAAAAATATTGTGCACAGTACATACCACAAAGAAGGTGGTCATTTTGCAGCAATGGAGGTTCCAGAGACTCTTTACAGCGATTTCGTCGAATTTGTCGCTAAAGTATTCAGGAAGCCACAACCAAAGCAATAGTCATTCGAAGACACTTAAACAAGTTTTTGTATACATTTTTTATTTTTTACAATTTCAGTTAAATTTTTCTAGAAAATAAAGTACGTAAGTCTTTTTTCTTATTTTCTTCTTTTAATCTGAGAACATTGAGGGTATGCTATGGTGATATGTAACGACCACCCACAAAAAGCATTGATCCTACATCAAGTACTAAGCATGGAGTGTGACTTCAGTCCCAGAAAGGCAACTAAAATTGGTTCTGCCTTCTGTCTAACAAGAAAAAACGTTAACYTCAGTTGCATCGAAGCTAAATACCCTTCACAGGTGCATTTCTGTTAGTAATTATGTGTTCAGTTTGTATGGAAACTATATGCTATAGTAATCCGAGCTGAAAATTTTTTTCGGAGATTATATTGTTACCTTAAGTCGTAATCCATGTCAAATTTGGTGAAGATACCACGTCAAATGTGAAAGTTTTCCATACAAGAACTTGATTCCGATCGTTCAGTTTGTATGGCAGCTATATGTTATAGTAGTCCGATATCGGCAGTTCCGACAAATGAGCAGCTACTTGAAGAGAAATGACGTTTGCAAAATTTCAAAGCGATATCTTAAAAACTGAGGGACTAGTTCGTATATATMCAAACAGACGGACATGGCTAAATCGACTCAGCTCGACATACTGATCATTTATATATATACTTTATGGGGTTTCCGACCCTTCCTTCTGGGTGTTACAAACTTCCTGACAAACTTAATATACCCT